GCCGATGAAGGTGCTCATGCTCACTCTCCAGAACGACCCGCCGACGCTCGACACCGGCGCCGAGGAGAAGGACCAGTACAAAGCGTACGGGAAGACGTTTCGGAAGATGATATCGGAGTGTCTCCAGAAGGACCCGACGAAGCGGCCGTCGGCGCCGGAGCTGCTGAAGCACTCGTTCTTCAAGAAGGCGAAGGACCGCAAGTACCTCGTGCAGACGCTCGTGACGATCGGGCCGAGCATGGAGACGCGCGTGCACAAGGCGAGCAAGCGGCAGCCGGGCACCTCGGGCCGCCTGCACCGCATGGAGACCGGCGAGTGGGTGTGGGAGAGCGACGAGGAGGACGCGGACGACGAGGGCGAGGAGCGCCGCGACCGCCCCATGAACCAGCTGCCGCGCGCCGACTCGTCCGACTCGGACAGCGACACGGAGCGCGCCGCGGGCTTCACCATCGGCTCCATCGACGCGGGCGAGGCGCCGCCGCAGATCGACCTCGTGCTGCGCATGCGCAACGCGCGCAACGAGCTCAACGACATCCGGTTCGAGTTCGCGCCCGGGAAGGACTCGGCGGACGGCATCGCCACCGAGCTGGTGGGCGCGGGCCTGGTGGAGGCGCGCGACGCGGGCGCCATCGCGGCGCAGCTGCAGCGGCTGGTGGACGGGCAGCTGTTCGGCTCCGCGGCCGCCGCGCCGCCGCCGCGCACGCTCACCTTCCGCCTCGAGTCGCACGACGCGCCCGACCCGCCCGACGAGAAGGGCCTGGTCGGCTACGCGCAGCTCTCGATCGTCGACTGACCGCACGAGCCGCGCCCGGGCGACGACGACGACGCTCGACGAGCGTTCCGGCCGCTCTCCCGGACGAGGAATCTTATCTCTTGAAAGGTGTAAACTTCGTACGCGATTTTTAGGGTCTGATTGAGCGTATTTTTATGAATTATAATTTATCTTTATTATACATTTTATCGCTTCGTATTTTATAAGTTTGTAAATGCAGCGTTCGAAGTGAAGGTAGATGTGGTTTTCGGGATTTATGAAGTTTCCTTCGACCTAGGCACGCTTCTAACCTTCGATGTGCTCGTCCGGTGACTTCATGACCTGGGTGCCATAATATTGAGAGACTATTTGTGGTACTATTACTGAACTTAAGTTACTATATAGTTTTATATAAGCATATGTATGTAGAGCCCCAGTTCTTTTTATGTTGTTACTTGTTTGTTGCTTACTTTGGATTTTTTAATAATAAAAAGAAAATACAGTTCGATTGTGTTTCACTACGATACCCGAAAAGACATTCTTCAAGTTAAGTCGAGAACATTAAAATTAATGTCACATACACGAGCTAATGACCGCGGTCGACGACCTACGGCGGCGCGACCACGTCACGACACGCTAATATTGATATGGGTGACACGATATGAATTCAATTTCTGCTAGGAACGTGTATTTCAAGTTGTGTTTGCTGACCTTGGTATTTCTTAACCAAAGTATTTTTAATCTATGGAGATTTGACGAATCTTCACGATTCCTGCTAATATATCCACAATAGGTATTACTTATTGGTACCGCTCTTTATAGCATATTGAAATCTTAATAGAAATCGTTATCGGCTTGACGTTTGCGATGAACATAATATGACGTTACAATTATGATTATTTCATTAACACAACATTTTCATCATTATCGAAAGTTTATATATATGTATATTCCTAAAAATATTTCTTTTGACTGTTTGGGTGGATTGATGAAAATACGCTCTGCAGAAGTTAAAAAGTAACAAGTGCTTGAAGAATTTGTCAATACTGTTAGGTCCTGTGTAGCTCAGTGGTTAGAGCAGTTGCCCGGATTGCGAAAGGTTCGAGTCCCATCTCAGAGTACCAGGAACAAGGTGGTTTTTTGAAGCATTTTTCATTAAGAATATTTTTTAGTATAGCGTTGTGAATGCAAGATTGTTCTAATATAATATATATTATTTCCCAATAACCTTGTGCCCTCATAACGCGAGTTCAAGTTCCTGTATTCGGGGCAAGTTGTGCCGCGACACTAACCCCTTTCTATCAGGTGATCGTTTACATAAAGGCGGGTGAGCTCAAAATCACTAAATTTTAATTACTTATGTACAAACATTCAATCCTAATGACCTGTAATTAAAAATGATAAATCTTCATAATATTTATAAAATTTTCTGTATATAGAAAAACTAGCTTTTGCCCGCGACTTCGTCTGCGTGGTGTAGTTACTTTGGGCAGCATTTGCAAAAATACTAAAACAAATATTTATTCATTATGTCGTGTAAAATATCTGATTATAGATTCATTATTTTATCTTAGACAAGAAACATCCACATAAACTTTAATTCCATCTTTCAACCCTTTTATCACAATAAAAAAAATGAGATTTTGGCGTGAGAGCGTAACAGACAATACACAGAATTACGTTTCATGTATAATATTATTATGGAATACTTAGCAACATTGTTCAAAATGATGTTAAGCTATATGAAAAAACAAAAAATTAAGACAGAACAAGAAAATATCCAAATATGTTTCAGCACTTTATTTACGAAAAGTAATTTTTTATCCAATTTGAAATAATCCAATAAGAAAACCACATATCTGATATTTTTTTAACCAAACGATTACGCTATTTAATTTAGAATAAACACCCTTTTAGTATAGCAAAAGCTTAAAGTTCTTACTAGGTTTTAATTTACAATCAACTTTGACCAAAACGGTTCAAAATTATCTTTTTATCATTTACATGTAATCTGTCAGGGTAAATGCTTAGATATATTTGATGAAGAATATACTTAACGCGGTCTAGTATAACTCAAAATATATAAAATGTGGATTTCTTTTGTACGTAGATAAAGTGATATTTTCTTGAATATTATCATAAACTTATAATTAAAATGAAATTTTTGTTAAAAAATTATGTACCCTTCGGAGTTAATTTTCGGAAAATCAATTCTTATTTTACGTAATAAGAAGAGACTACCCTCCAAATTTCAAATCTGGGTTTAGGGTGTGCGATGTCTGTCGGTCAATTTCATTTATATATAGATTACATAATTACTCCTAAAATTCACCATTTCTCGTTGCAATTAAACCCTTTTCATAGGGAAAATTTGATAAGCATGCGAGTTAATTGTGGTTGACGGATTATGCAGTCCTTTTTATTAATTAGAAACCGTTTTCGCTTCGCAATCCAACATCCTCTGGTCCGATTAACGGGATAATCTTTAAGCTTTACTCTACCTCTTAAAATACTACGACTTCGAAGTAATGCCTAAATTGTATTTTGTAAATTGTATTGGCGTATAAATTGTTTTACTATATTCAACGATAAAATGTATGATATTTCATTTTTAACCGACATTAAAAGCCATTAAACCGACAAAAAATGGAAGGCGCTTCTATGTTTGAATGTGTGTATTATTAGATGGGTCATCGATTGCTTCGCGAATTGTTAAAAGATTTCCAAAAAGTTTTAATACAATATACATTCAAATTTATTTGAATCGGATGAGTATTTTAAAATTGCTAATTCGCGCTTTTGCTATTTTTACATATTTTTATATTTTAAGTGATATACGTATCATTTTAAAATCATTTTATTTACTAAAAAATATATATATTTCAAAAATATAAAAAAAACAATAGGTTATTTGAAATATAAATTTATAGAAAACAAAAACAACTTTTTAAGAAAAATCTTTACTATTGAGATATCTTTAAACATGATCGTTATAGAAAGTGCCCTACGACACCATTCAGTACCTGTACAAAGCATTTTCAATAAGCGAACAATCGCCAACTTATATTTAAAAACTTATGATTACAAAGTAGTTTCAGAAAATAATATTCTTAATATTTAAAAAATAAGATGCTCATTTTTAATGAATTAAGTATAAGTAAAATGACTAGGCAGAAAATAGAAAGCATCTCGATATAAATAAATCTACTTGAAACTACTAAGGCATAAATCTCTGAATATTAACAAAAAAACTATTTGTAGGAACAATGTTTATATAATAAAATAAACCAATTCCTCCTTTAGGACTGACAGCTAGTACAATAATAAATATAAAATTCGACAATGCAATAAATCTGAAAATAACTTAAAATTTCATGTTAAGTTATATTTCAGAGTTTAAGATGACATTACATCTAGGTCTAGTTTCGCTTTAACTGTCAAGAGATGGCACCGGTTCTCTTACGATGGATAGATTAAAAAAGGGATTGCAACGAATCGCGAAATGTAACGGAAATCAATTTTATTTCACAGCAGTCAGCAGCAAAATCAGGTTATCACAATATGTCAAATGCCGCATATTGTTCCGCAAAATCATATTCACTGATTGAAGAAATATAAAATCAAAACACTAGCACCATCACTCGACAGCCCAAACGAGTAAAAGTCGTTTACACCTTAATGAATCTACCTACAATCAAACTAACAGTTCCTGCATTATTAAAGCAATAACACCAAATACATAAAAACATATTTGTGCATCATTCATACTAAAGAACATACATCAGATGTCGACTCTAAATCATATATGTATTATGTATAAGTAAATACCACAGCATAACATCTTACAGTTGGCCTTTGAATTTGCGTTAAAGATGCTTCGGTCTATTTAGACATTTATAATTCCTGTAAGGTTATCAATAATATATTTTTCTATGCAGTTGCTCATAAAGCGCCATTTTTTTAATCCATTGTAAACACCGAAAGTGAGTCTAAACACGTGTTAAATAAAATTGTACTGAAATCCTTTACTGCACACGTGCTTAAAAGTATTTTTTTATTATTTTTTGGCCGAGCACCAAAGAAATAAAAAAAAATATATGAATAAACATGTTCAATTATCACGTTTAATTTTAACAAATAATTTTTACCTTTAATACATACTTAGTTTTATTAACCTATTGGGTTGGCACAAAAGTAATGAGACACATTAGAAAAATCTATGACATTTCCTTTTTAAAATCAATTTTTTCGATAATATTCTAGAATGTTGTAGAACATTCTAGGTACTTCTGGTGTAGGGTATATAAAGCCGCGCTCGCGATTTGTTTAGTCAGTTTGAAGAAAAATGGACGAGCAACAAGTTCGAACACTATACTTATACGAGTACTTGTTAGGCCACAGTGCGCGGGCTGCGGCTGACAATATCAACAATGCATTAGGCGCTGGAAGTACAAGCCATGCGACGGTGTCCCAATGGTTTGACCGTTTTAAATCAGGAGACAGGAGCCTTGAAAGTCAGCCACGCTCAGGGCGACCACCCGCAGTGAAAGATGACGATTTGCGCCGCGGACTGCAGTTGAATCCGGATGCTACCACTCGTGAATTAGCGGAAGCACTTAAATGCAGTCACCACGCCGTGGAACACCATCTGCATGAGCTTGGTTATCGAAAAGTTTTGGCTCGGTGGGTACCGCACATCCTTACAGACGCCAGTCGTGCAGTCCGTGTCGCTATCTGTCAGTCACTTTTGCTGCGACCCCGACGTAAAGAGTTTTTGTCAGATCTGGTTACTGGAAATGAATCATGGATTTATTACGAGAACGATACACGTCGTGCTTTTTGGCTGCCTCGAGAAGAAACGCCACCAACTCAACCGAAGCCGAGTCAAAAACCGCCGAAAAATTCTGCTTTGCTGTTTCTGGGATGCGCAAAGCATACTGTTTTATGAGCTATTACACAATGAAACTATAAACGCTGACAAATATTCAACCCAGCTTACCAAATTATCTGCCGCTATCAAGAAAAAACGACGAAGACGAGTCAATGTAGTTTTACTGCACGATAACGCTCGACCTCACGTCGCATCTGTGGTTCGCCGGCAGTTGGAGAACTTGGGCTGGGAGACGATACCCCACCCACCTTATTCCCCAGACCTCGCCCCATCAGACTATCATTTGTTTAGAGCCCTGAAACAGCATTTGCGGGGTAAACAATTTAATGATTTCTCTGACGTAGAGGCGGAGTTGAACAACTTTTTCGAGGCACAGCCATCAGAGTTCTGGGCAAAAGGCATCCAAACTTTGCCGGATCGTTGGCAAGAAGTCTTAGATACTAATGGTAATTACATCATTGACTAAACTTTTTTTATTGTAATAATAATAAAAAAGTAAAAACTTAAACCAAGTGTCTCATTACTTTTGTGCCAACCCGATATATATTTGTTTTATTTCCTCGCAAAAAGCGTTGAAAAATGTTGTAAGAAACTTGAGCGTAAAAGGTTTTTCGAATTCGTGCCAATGAATCAATTTGGCCCTTATTCGTAAAACCTTACTTTCCGCACTCGTATCTTAAATAACTGTTGTCGAACATCCCAATGTACATACAATTGTGAAAATAAATGTAACTTTAAATAAATAAATGAACTTCAAACAATCAACACATTGGTCAAATGTTAAAGTTAACATACGCTTATAGGATTTAAGCATGATGAAAGTATATATAAGGTCATTTACTGCAATATAGTACGAATTTAATAACCATTCTTGTAACAATACTAAATTAATTAAATACATACACGCTTGATAAAATGTGTCACTCCATCGGTAATGTCTCAAGCAATTTATATGGCAGTTTGGGCTCACGTACATTGGCCGACTGTAAGAACAATTTAGGTTGTGGTAGTACAATATTATACTGATAAACTTACTCTTCTACCGCTATATCATTTGGACGACTGCATATCTTTTTTGTGTTCCCGAGTTTTAAAAACGTACAAGTTTTATTATTTCTAAAGACACATGTACAATAGATTGCGTATATGGAAAGATGATTGTAGAAAAAAGTTTAAAACAATAATAATGAACTTTTAATTAAAATATTTTACAAAATTAATAAAAAAATAAATGTAAAAGACAAATAAAAAACAGAACATATAAATAACTATAAAATAGATTTGTTTAAAAACAGAACATATAAATAAATATAAAATAGATTTCCGTAGTTTTCTTTTAAATGCATTCACACGATTAAAAGTTAAATTCATTTAAACGTTTTCAAGACTAGTAATGGCAACAAAATAAATTAGTTTATATTCTAGAACCGAAACCTGGTTATGGCACATCAAATTTTTACCTAAACCTAATTTAACCTACGTCACTTTGTGCCGGTAAGCGTTTGTGCACTCGCTTGTGTCATTCAAAGTTATAAATAAATACCAATATTATAGTGAACTTTCTTTTGTATCATTACGAGCAAAACTCATTATAACCTAGTTATTTCACTTATGAAATTTATTGCTTTAATAATAAATTAAATCACATCACAGGCATTATATATATATATCGATATTTTACAAAACAAAAACCTTTTAGAATTCACTCTACATATGGATACACTAATGTTAAGAAGATTATATCAACTTTATTCCTAAATCAGATCCAGACTTGTATGAAAAAGGAGGACGATTATACGAAAAACCTCATTTCATACAGTCAACAAGGATGTTTTAGAGTAGCAGCTCTACCGCATAACGCGTCAAGATTGAGCCCTGAATATTATGTCCGGCTGACAGATCAACTATCACCATACCAATGAAGGCTATCGAATTTGCCACTAGAAGCGCTAGAGTAGTGGGAGATCTTCAAAATGTCTAAACTCATACTTTGTTGCATATAACGCGCGTTTCTTTTCAAATATACAATTTCGATGCTTATTTTGGGGTAGCTGAGATTAATTATAGCAATTATGAATTACCGGTCAATTTTAAAACGGCGTTAAGCGAAAATTTGTGTTTTTTATAAAGCGGGATCAAAGCAGAGCTAAATCAGAGGTTAGTGTTTATTGGGCATGTTCAATATTTTTAATAAAATGATTTAAATTAAATCTCGCAGTAAACAAACTTTGACAGGACTTTCTCGACTATCGCTGACAGTTGATCTGACAGCCTAACAGATCATTCAAGGCTCATGACACATCAATCCGGGGTTCAGTAAGACGACAGGCTTATCAACACAGGGTTACTAAGATGATCGTTCATATTTAAAATTAGAAAAACTAACAAGAGCACGACGAAATTAGCATGTGTGTGATATTAACTAATATTTATTTAGAAACTTTGTGTATCGCAAGATAGAATTTATTCAGAAACATATTGAATAAGTATTTTTTAAGTGGCAGTTTATACAAAAGAATGTTCACTTCTAATATTAATAGAAAAAAAAAAGTTATTTGGAAGACTAAATGCAGATTGGAATGTTAAAAGAAATTATTTCTCTAGAAAACATTCTAATATTTAAAACTTAAAATGTGTTAAAATAAATATAGTGCCTCTACCACGGAACATAACAATATTGTAGTTACAACTAATTAAGAAAGTCATGAACCGATTACGAGTTCACTAAGGGACATCTTGGTAGAATTTAAGAGTAATATTAAAAAGAGATAACATAATTTATTTAAAGTCATAAAAAGAGTAATAAAATATTTTAAACTCCTGTCTAGAGTCGTTATTGTGGTAGAGATGCAACAGAGATTCTCACATCCAATTTATTAGAGATTCTTTTTAAGTACGTAAATTAATATTAAATTATGATCACGTACAATTGACACGTTCAAAATTGTCCTTGATTTCGACATTCATTATATAACAAAAAATGTAACGCCTTACAAATATATAAATAGTGATGACTCGAAATGTGTCACGTATTTTACACTTCAATTATACAGCGATAAATTAATTAACACTACAGTTGACAACTGACAATAACCCATTCTTGGTGCCAAATTTGTTCCTTACACGATACTGATCTAATGAAATACAGCATATAAACCGATATTATTATAAATAATAAATTATGTACATTATTTTGTTAAGTACTTAAGAGGTGCATGGATATTATAAAATAATAGTTAAGCATTCCGATAAGTCGATGCTCCTTAAGTAATAAGCGACAAAATTAATACCTACTATACGACGAAACGCCCATTAGAATAGAAACATGTAAACAAATAAACATTTAAGTAGAGTTAACAAAGTGTAAATATTAAGTATACTCGTCCGTTTTATTTTGCGCATACAAAATCTAGGCGGTGAAACTAAAGTGATGATCACAAACGTACAGGTGAAAACGAGTCAGATGCGACGCGAAACGATGCAGTCTCGAGGTTCGGATACGCCCAGTCTAAGGAGCCTAATCTTAAGAATAGTTGTACTATAAAAGAAGCGTATTAAGTCGACAGGTCGAGCCGAATGGAGTCGAGCGAGCGTCCCCGCCGGGGCCGATGGAAATCAAAACAGCTCCACTACTTTCCGCCGGAGGTACTCCTTCAGGGGGGTGTAGTAATGACGTCGGAGGGCGACTATCTCGGGGCGTCGTTTGAGATCGCGGAGAGGCGGCCAGTCAGTCTCGAAGAGGAGGAGCGCGGCTACAGCCAGTGACGCCCACACGAACAGGAAGGAGGGAACGAAAGCGCGCACGAGACTGAACGGCCTGGGGGCGGCGGGCGGTGGCCCCGTCGACACCCGCCCCCACTCCTCACCCCCCACGCCCGCGCCCGCCCCTGCCCCCGCCCCCGCAGACACCGGCGTATGACTTACGTGCGTCACGCCCGACTCTGAAGACGAGTGCTCGAACGAGTCGCGCAGCCCGTAATCCGTAGTAGGGCACGCTGTATGGAAAAAAAGATAATACGTCACGCTGCTTTGTCGATTTTGCACATTAGAAATGTTTCGAGTTTTATTTTTTCAAACGATTTACGACAAAAATTGTTCAGAGAATAAGTAGTTTCTACTCGGACGAAAAAACCTGAAGGCCTATTTCTCTGACAACGAAATTTCGTCTAAAGTGCGGCCAACAAGAAGCGATACCAAATGTAAACAAAACCAATGCAATGTCATTAGGAAATGCAGGGGTGCGTAACTTTTTGAAAACTATGTATTTTATTATCAGACAATAATATTTTAAATAAAATCTGGCATTAAGTTACTTTATGTAATTTTTATTCTAATAATCTAACAATAAAAAGACAACGAGTTGAAATTCGAATAATAATACTTAAGACTATAAGCATGGCAGGGAGGTATCTCCAGTCTGTTGACTTAACTTGTAGCTTAGGTCCTGCTATTTTTTATTAATTATAGTTTGAATTATTTTATTGATGTAAATATCAAGAATGTGATCTGATGTCGAGAATGAATCACTATTATTTAAAATGGTCGCCTCAATGTTGGCGAACCCATCTTGACCTTGACACATTTTTGCCGGGAGAACGAGACATTGCGACAAATACACAAGATGAAAAGAGATAGATAATAGATTGTCAACTCCACAGTCGTTTTTCGGGTTAATGACCTTTCGTATCGCTGCTAGTTGACTGTACTTTACTTATCGAAATGCTAATAAGATTTCAGAGGAACGCATTTTTTTGTTAATTTATAATGCAATCGTTGTGGACATGATTTAAAAAAATATATAAGAGGCAGCCGCCGTCGGACGCTGCCGCTGACGATACGAACCTCTGTCTACTGACGGGTGGTGGTGGTCGCACGCTGCCGCTGACGATACGTACCTCTGTCTACTGGCGGGTGGTGGTGGTCGCACGCTGCCGCTGACGCTACGTACCTCTGTCTACTGGCGGGTGGTGGTGGTCGCACGCTGCCGCTGACGATACGTAACTCTGTCTACTGACGGGTGGTGGTGTTCGCACGCTGCCGCTGACGTTATGTACCTCTGTCTACTGGCGGGTGGTGGTGGTCGCACGCTGCCGTTGACGCTACGTACCTCTGTCTACGGGCGGGTGGTGGTGGTCGCACGCTGCCGCTGACGCTACGTACCTCTGTCTACGGGCGGGTGGTGGTGGTCGCACGCTGCCGCTGACGCTACGTACCTCTGTCTACGGGCGGGTGGTGGTGGTCGCACGCTGCCGCTGACGCTACGTACCTCTGTCTACTGGCGGGTGGTGGTGGTCGCACGCTGCCGCTGACGCTACGTACCTCTGTCTACGGGCGGGTGGTGGTGGTCGCACGCTGCCGCTGACGCTACGTACCTCTGTCTACGGGCGGGTGGTGGTGGTCGCACGCTGCCGCTGACATACGTACCTCTGTCTACGGGCGGGTGGTGGTGGTCGCACGCTGCCGCTGACGTTACGTACCTCTGTCTACGGGCGGGTGGTGGTGGTCGCACGCTGCCGCTGACATACGTACCTCTGTCTACGGGCGGGTGGTGGTGGTCGCACGCTGCCGCTGACGTTACGTACCTCTGTCTACTGGCGGGTGGTGGTGGTCGGGGCAGCAGGCGAGCGCGATGTCTACGGCGGGCCCGGACAGCAGGCAGCCGCCGTTGCACGCCTCGCCCGCGCCGCTCTCCTCCAGCGGCGCGCTGTGCGTGGACCGCGGCAGGCTGCTGTACCCTGCTGCACATCACTACACTGTACTCCAAGCTTCAGACTTCAGTAAACCAGAAAGTCATTTCTGGGTAAATCCATTCCTATGTTCGATAAAGTTCCACAAAATGTAATTCACCTACCCGTTAATAAATTTAAAATTTTATTTTGGTAATGACTTGATTTTGTGAATGTCATTACTTATGATAAAAAGCTGGTAAGTTTCTTTCGCTTGTTCTTTAGACGTCCTGAAAAAGTGGTAGCGGAAAAAAAAATTTGGACGATTCAAAAGTGCTTGTAACAAGCCTACTTGAATGAAGATATTTCATTTCACTCTGCTACACGGACCACAGGTAAGGTGGCGTTTGTTAACTAATTCATTTTACGCAATTAGCATTATACCTGTACTATACTGAAACGACAGGAGAAGGCAAAAACTCCTGAATCAAATCACTGTTTCTCAAGTACTTAAATCATAGAATATTCAAATAGTAGTTTCGGTGGTGACTAGAAGTCAGGAATTTGCAAAATTAGTAAAATTTACATTGAAATATATATGGATATTCCGGTTTTAAATCATTTATAACTTTATTCAAATAATATTATAATAACTGGATTATCTTTTTCTGTTTAATTAAAAATAGAATTTATTTTATGTGTGTACTTTTCAATCAGAGCGGAATACCGTAATGTGAATCAACATACCGAAATCCCCCGTCATAGGTGTGGATGGCGTCGCGGGTACGCTAGAAGCTTTCCGTTTACCCCCTGTGCTAGATCCTTCCTCCTGAAAAATAAATCATCACTATAATGCTAAATCCACATTATTTGAACTGCGTGGTCACTTTAATGCGTAGAACAATCAAAGTTCAGTGACCATCTATCAGCAGGTCCGGATCTACGATTTCATTTACCCGGTTGAGCAACATCGTGTTCCTTTCCCCTTCTTCTGCTTTCATTTACGAATTTTGAAACATGTCTTGCCTACCCCTTAGATCCGGGCCTGGGTATTAGTATCATTCTAATTACATTAAAAAAAATGCAAATCAATTAAACTTCAGTTAATTGCCTTTTTTTTCACTTCCCATAATTTTAACAAAAAAGTTTTTCTTTGATACACCTATCAGTACCTGATGGTCTCTTGGCGTTAGTAATCCGTCTCTCTCGAGGATTTCACGTTCGGTGCGCCCCACGTACTTGAACTTGGTTCCCCATGAGAATAGACCGCCGCCAGAATACACGCACGCGTCCGACGACGATGGTAACCTGCCAGTATAATTATTATACCGTGAGTCCCTTACAAACTGAGTTGGACACAAATACTGGGGTCAGATCGAGCTAGTGAAGTGAGTCCTTTACAAGAGAGAGTTGGACTAACCTACAAGATATGTGACATACAAAGATATGTTTTGAATTTGAAATCTTTGTTTTTTATGTTTTATGTTACGCATATTTTTAATATTACTTTCCTCAAGTTTTTAAAGCAAAAACTAGTAGATTATCAATGTATGAATCTATGCGTATTAATCCAAATAATAAGACTGATTATTTCAATTGTTTATTTTAAATGATCTCATACATTTGTCTATATATTAAATACATTTCCTTAAAATTTATTCAGGGCGATACATGCGATTTTAAAAATTTTGATCTGTCTGTTTGTATGTTCGCGCTCATCTCTGAAACTACTGAACAGATTTCAATAATATTTTTTTTTATTTTGGTAGCTAGCCTTCATCATATGGAACCCTAAGAGATCGACGAAACAGTAAAAGATACAAAAAGGACATACATTTAAAGGAATCACGTATATGCGAAAGTCGTTTAGTCCAATTTCACTTTGCTGCTGCAGGTTGAATACAATTTATCCCATTAATGGGGAATGTTATTTTTTGCGCCTGTTCTTTCATACAATTCGTGGACCAACTTCATTTACTTTTTTTAAACTTGACGATGGCGAGCGAGATGAACTTTTCAAGCAACTCGCATGGCTCTTCACCATGACCAACACTACGACAACTCTACACTCCATTTCTGAATTGAGTATTTAAAGTTAAGCACGTCTCAAACTGTACTTAAACGTCACTTAAATAGGTGTTCGTTTCTGATTTTAGTTTTTTAATGTTCAGTTGAAGGTAGTTTCATAAAAAGCTAGGACTTTATGCCTTGTGTAAAGTAAAAACTTAAGTTATTCAGAATAATAAGTTGAGATTTTGTGCTGTACTCAATTTAGAAACCGGCCGATAGTCTCCGTTCCTTACGTCAATTGTACGCAATAATGCTGGTATTTTGTGGTCTTTGAAATCCCTAAAGACTATGGGAAAAGTATAATAAATCTATCTGAGGAACAGTTGTGCGGGGTGCATTCACTCCAACCGACGAGAGAGTGTTAAATAGTTAATAAAAAATAAATAGTAGAAACTTTTGCGGATGAATTCTTTTAATATTAATATAATTTGTAAAATTACCCACCCATAATGATAATGAGAAACCTTTCTCCACCGAAGTTATGCAACGGAACCATATTTTAAGATTCTGGCTCTGCAAAGGAATATTATCCAAGCAGAGTTTCTGACCGGCTGTACAATTTCGCCTGTACCAGGTGAAATTATGCTAATATCGCATATACCACTTATTTCACTTACTCTCAACAATTTTCCGTTTAAATTCATACGTTGAAAAAAATAAATTCGTTTTCGCTTTGAATAGAATCAAGAAAATCATCCGTTGAAACAGCTTTAAAAGCATATCCGGGTACGTGTCTTCACTATTACCGTAAACTGTAGCTTTAATAATATGGGGGAACAGCGTTAACCGTCAGCAGGCATTTAGAGGTCAAAAAAGTGCATTCCACGGAGTTGTTAGTCGGGAATCATGTAAGCTGTGCTTATTTGACAAAAAACGCGCCGAATATTATAAAATGAATTTCGAAACAAAAACAAATGTATTAGGAAAAACAAAATTGTAATATCTAAGTGTAATTTGGCAATATTCAAGAAAAAAATATTTTACATGGCTATTAAGATTTTTAATAAATTACCACTTAATCTAATAAATCTGCCAATAAATAATAACATATTCAAAAACAATGTTATATCAGTTTCACGTAGGTAAAAGAATTGTCATGATTGGATCAGTATTTCCAAAGATATTTTTTTTTTCTAAACTTTAGCTCTGTATTTATATTAACACCATGAAAATGGCGAGAATTTTTAAAGACATTTGAGGTAACATTGAAATACATACGCCATGTTTTGTGTGAGTAACCTATAATGACTCAAAAGCGGTTATTACGGACCGTTACTTTTTCCCGTACAGTTAACTTGAAAATGAATCAACATTTTTTTGTTGACTCAGTTTTTTCATTGTAATTCACGCTCTAACCTAAGATAACTCCGATATACTTGGTGAAAAAAACTGTTCACGAAAAAAGAACTTACTGTAGTTAATACTACAAATGTTTCATGAGTAAAGTTGGATGACCTTAAAATGGGTTAATAACATAGATATAATAACTAAAAAAGCTCACCTACCGTACAAAAAAGCTATTCTATATTATTAGCTACATTTATTTACAGACATTGACAAAAACAAAAGAAACCAAGTGGCCTGGCTTAATTTTTTTTTATATACAGGTTATAAAGTGTAATCGGAGATAAAAAAAACCAACCAAGTGCGAGGCGGACTGGCGTACGAAGAGTTCCGAAACGGAAACGAGTGAAAAAAAATCACGTTTGTTGTATGGAGGGCTCCCTTAAATATAATTATTGTTAAAGTTACTATACAAATACAATTTCTGTAAATATTTCAAGCCTCTGTAAATATGTCTACCTTTTGTCATTATTTATCAGTATCGAGCAAAAACAAACAAAAAATCACATTTGTTATAAGGGTAAATTTCAACCGTCTAACTTTCGGGTAGGGATTCTCTAAAAGCATAAGCACCATCGACTTCCGCTGAATATATACCCACCTGAAAGTATTATTTTCCGATCTAGATATTATGTGTATAATATCGAATACTCACGTAAAGAATAACATCTGTTCTATAGCGCAACACCACACGTGACGGCACGACGCACCACTCGGACACTTGAAGCCTACCGTGTGCTTCTTCTGTAAAATATGAATACAAAAAGTAGGGCAGACGACCCGGTTCTGTACGCCGATGCTGCTAATGTTTCCGTTATAATAGCATCTCAATATCTTGAATTTTGTCGTTGTACTATCTGCCTGAAGTCCAATATTATATCTATCACCATTGATGTGTAAAATGTAAGCTACACTTTAAAGTTGCTGTGAGTGTGGAAGACCGTAGTGAAAAATGATAAGAAATATGTGCATTGTCGCGGTCTTTATAATTACATGCAGAAAAATGTCAATACGTAAAGTCATAAAATATTACTGCTACAGGTAAACTAGATCAATGAACGAGTTACTCGAGTAAAATGCTGACGCTCAAGGCTGCTATAAACTAAATGTACGGGTTTACTCGTACAGATGTGTAAGGAAGACATTGAACTAATAATATTGAACTTTATGTATATAGTACAATGGTAAAATGCAAGTAGCTGAAATTCTATCGAGATGCGATTAATACGTAAACATTAGCAGAATTAGACTACTGGCCATATTAAGATTATGAGTTATTTTACCCATTTGAGAGTTACGACGAAGTGAACTTTGGATACATAATTGCCGTTCACGCAATTAGTTTTGCCATAATGACACATTTAAACGATAAATTTATATATTTGTCTATGCGTTAGATAGAACGTTTTGAAGTTCCAATTGGCCGAAAGAGGGGGCAGTGGTCAAAACCGGGTCTTCTGACCTAACAATTAATCAATAAATTTTTTGGATGGCGCTTTGGGAGAGGGATTAACGCGCTCAATCTGCGATACGGTTGTTAAGCAACTTTCGCAATGGTTCGGTGACCAGAAATTTATTATCTCGAACTCCTTCGTACTTTCGACGGCACGTTAGACTATTAGTCTCGGCTGCACCGTAATACGGGGCCTTAGCTACTCATCTTGGAATCTGAGCATTGTACTATGTGATGTTTGTTTTTAATAATAATATTTATAACAACATAAAATATTTTTTCAAGAGATATTATACTCTGTAGCTTGAACCATTAAAGAAAAGTTATTTCCATACAAGACACTGGGGACAATCGGCCAATGACAATTTACTTATACACTGATTTCATGTATATTCTATAGAAGCAGAAAGACATTATGTAATGTCTGATTTTTCTATATTAAGTGACTAGATGTTTCTTCGCGACTTCGATCGCTTTAATTATAGCTTTTAGCAAACGCATATGATGTAGTTCCCTTTAGGTAAAGAAACTTCATGATCAGATCAGTATTTTCGAAAATTACTCCCTAAACGAAATAAAAAACCAAATAGATATTTCACAACATTCACATTTTAATTTAAGAGCAACCCTAACACCCGTTTTCACTAACCTAGAACGAATCAAATTAAAATTATTTATTCAGTCTAGGCTGTTACAAGTACTTGTGAAAGTCGAGAGCTACGCCATCGGTTCGTTAATCTACGCGGGGAGACCTTGTACCGAGAAGAACCGGCAAGAAACAAGGAATAGCTTAACTAGGAAAAGCTTATTCCGTGATAGCCGTGACCTTTCGCAATCCGAGCGACGACGGGGTACTCCCTGTAGTAGGGAAAAAGTAACAAGTGCTTGAAAAATACGTCAGTCCTGTTAAGTGCTGGGTAGCTCAGTGGTTAGAACAGTCGCCTGAATTGCGAAAGGTCATGAGTTCGAGTCCCATCTCAGAGTGTTAGGCACAAAGTGGACTTTTAAGCATCTTTCATTAAGATTAATTTTCAGTATAGCATTGTGAATGCAAATTTATCAAATATAATATAAACATATGTTTGATAAATTTGTATGTCAAATGCAGTTTCCTTAGGCGATTCTTAAATACTGGGGCGACTCCTAAGTTTAGTAAAAAATATAGTTTCCCTACAAATATCTCACCTCTGGATAGTTGAGATGAACTATAAACATGCGCCCTTCGAAATTTATTTTGTGCACTTCCGACCATTTGAAGTGGTGCGTTTTCCTGCTGCCTTGGAAAGTCAAGATGCCACTGTGGTTGATACCTAAGTACAGTTGGTTGCCTCTATGATCCTAAAAAAAAAATTTTAACAAGTAAGTGGTAAGGTTCATAAATCTTAATTCTTACAGATAGATGCTAAAGAGGCGATTGGAGAGCAATAATAAATTAAATTGTGTTTGATAAAAGTTCATAAACATTTAATATTGTATTTATATAGAATTTGTGTGAATAAAAAATATTTATATATATTTTAGATCAGTGATTCCCTAAGTGGTCCAGGTGGACACCCAGGGGTCCACGAGAGATTCAACGGGGGTATACGTTGGCGTGAAATAAAAACAATTTCCATCGTTAGATCTTCACATTTTGGACGAATTTTGGGAATATGTTAAAAATGTAAAAAAAATGCAGTCCACCGAAGCCGTAAATTTTTTAAAATGGTCTACGAGACAAAGTTGTTTGGGAACCTCTGTTTTAGATTGACAAACAATATTACAATTTTTCAATTATTCAAGACAAACGAAATACCAATCAGAGACGCGAGACGTCATTTGGTGGTAAATTGGGACAGAAAGTGTGGGAAACATTCAAAGTGTAAATATTTTTAATGCGTATATTTATTTGTGTATTTGAAAATAAAAAACACTTTGTTTAACCCCACAAATGATGTCGCGTCCTCCGAGAAACGGTTTACAGGATTTTTATAAAACAGTTACAACATAGTTTTGGGTACATAAGTACGATTAAAATGTATTACGAGTCTTGTTTCAATAACAATAGGAAGAAGAAACATTTATTGATCTCACAAAAGCACAAAAAAAATAGTACTTTATGGGTCCTCCTCACTCACACTCAGCTGGGGTCGGTTCACGAGCACTTGAAAATTTTAATTTAATAAAGTATTTATTTTACATGTATTTTTAAAATGACAAAATATAACTTCCACATGAGAGTAACCATGATCAATGAAGTTAGGAGCAGGGCCGCATCTAGGGCAGGGGAGGGTATTGATTATAGGCTACGATGGAATGAACATGTTTTTAAAACAATGACCTCACAGAGCTTGAGGGTAAGGGCGCCATTCAAGTCTTTGCTTCTGTCGGCAAAATCGTATAACCGGGCCTGATTAGGAATTGCACAAATATTATTATTTTTTAATCCTAGACTACAAAGTTAATGTGTCTCCTCCGATTAATAAATAGATAGATGGTAAACATGCTTCTTACTTTCACAGGATGTGGATCCACTCCATAAGTATCCAACTGACATGCAATCTTGACAAACATCCTCTCAGCCTCCTGCGTAGTCATTCCCTTTACGCCGCCGCCGCCTCCTGGAGTTACCTCAACTGGTTCTCTATGTAGTTCCTGATAAATTTGGTACATTATTTAAATGTACAGCGACATTAATACAAACAGTCATGCTCGAATCAGTGTCAACCTGATGTTACCACGGTATATCAAATTTCCGAAAAGGATTTTGTACTCTATTCTCAATGCATAATGTTTAAAATCAAGTAGAGAACATTGACTGATTGTATGATAAACAGATCTGCTGTTTACTGTACATTTAACTATTCTAGTTCTTTATTCTACTAATTTTTTTTTTTTCTATATTGTGTCTCAAAAATCAGTCAGGTATTACTTACTAAATATCCCCATATTTCCCATGTAATGGGCCTCAACCAATTTTTTAAACAAAACAAAATCTAATCGTTTTTTACATTAATAAATGAGCTAAAAATATATCAAACCTGTATCCTTGCTTCTATAGTATCCGTCTGTCTTAATAACAGTCTCATTTCAGACACATAGTTTCCAATGTGTATACTTGGATCATAGTCACCAAGCTCAACTGAAATCAGAATAGAAAATAATATAATAATTATAACAGCAATGCAACATCACTCATTGACTCTACATAATATTGATTAGATGATACGCATTTTAAATAAATATAGTTTGAATTAAAAGAAAGTTAGCACAACTAATTTTCAACTTTTTTATTGCAACATTAATATGTATGTCAAATTTATTTGGACTATACTATTTTTATGTCAATAAATATTATTTTTGTTTGATATGGTACCAAAAACCCCACCAAATCCCCCCCACCCCCACATTTCTATTTTTAACTAGTCTCAGTGCCAACTTGTTTAAATAATCATACTACACTACAATAGTTACTACACTACTATATTAATTTAATTATTATCAAATTGGAATTATTATTATCCATAACGTTAGTCAAAACTGTTTATAGGTAAGTAACCTGTGAAAATAATTTCATAAACTGAAAATTAGAATATTAATAACACATAATAACATATGTGTGACAAATTAATTTAATTATATTAACAAAACAATCACCTATTAGTGACATAGATTTTTATATAAAGGACAAAGTAGGATGTATTCTTATTGATTCTCTATAATTATCTATCACTTAGACGTAAATTAAATGATTTTAAGCTATTACTAATTTAACTAACTTTTAATTAGAATACATACTTTGAATAATAAGTGCTCCGAGCATAGCGGCTTCATTTGAAGTGCAATAAAGTCTGCCATGCAACAGATCCCTTTTAAGTTGTAAATAAATTTGAAACCTAGTAACATCTTCTTTTAAAAGCAATGGATTTGGCGGGTAAAATTTTACTCTAAAACTGAACAATATTGGAGATGCATCTGAAACAGGCAACACCAAATTAAATTTATTAAAGTAAGTATGGTTTATAAAATCAAAATTTTTTATAATAAACAAACCTTTAACTTGTTTCAATATCAACTTCGCCATGTGCAACCAATGCTGAAAACAATAATTTATTAATTTGATACATCTTTTTATTACTAATTTATGGATTAAATTAATATTAGACATCTAATTAATAAAAGAAGAAGTCTAATTGATAACTAATTTTCTTTTTTCTATGAATATTACACAATTGTTGACAATAATATTAAATCCTGAAGCAATATTATTCTATAGGTAGGTATTTTTTCATATTGTGCAATAATTATTAAAATTATGTTTTTTACTCTGTGGTAACATTTGAAACTGAATTTCAATTCAGTGGTATACCATAATTATATAGTACTAATTATGGCTCATGAGAATGAATCTTAACAGGTTCATTAGAGCATTATTCTAAATATAAAACTATTACTAAGATTGCGTACAAACATAAAATACTTTTATATGATTGTTAACTTACCCTTTGACCACCGGCATCAACATAACGAAGACCAAAATAGTCAGTTTCAGTAAGGCTCAACTGCTGACAGACATATTCCAACAAATATTTGCCCTTATAACTAGGCTGCAAAACGAAAGCTTGTTAGATTAAGATTATGAAATCATAACTAAAAAAAAAGGTACACCTAAATTACTTACATGAAATTCGCATTCTAAAATTTCAGTGTCCTCTAAAAGTCGCACTGTGCATTTATAAACAATATCCCCACGGCTTTTGAACATCCTGATAGAATTTGCAACAAATAAGCTATCGGCGTAATTTTTGGGCCAGTGTAATTTAAATAATTTTTAACATTAATTACATACTTTTCAACAAAAATTTGTTGCTTCATTTGTTTTTTATTTTCAATTTGGAAATTAGGGGTGTGGTGGGGGGATTGTGATATTTGACAATTGAGGATGACGTTTTCGTTCTGTATTCTAACGATAATAATGGCACTGTTATAGAACCTTTGAAATAAATAAATAAAATGTTCATAAAAATTAATATTTTACCTCATATTTTTAAGAAATTTTAGGATTTTTTCATTAATATATATTAACTTGGTTTGATTATGTTTTAGAACGAAAAGGATTTACTTACGGATATTACGTATGTATTCATGTTATTGTTGCTACAAATAAATAAAGTATTAAACCTGGGAAATTTATTAATTATTGAAGCATGTATTTTGTGATAAATGCTTTTAAGATTTATTTTTAACCAACTTCAAAAAATACGGTTATCAATTCGAGGTATCTGTATGTATGTAATTTCGTTGACATTGCGTTATATTCATATAAGCTGATAAAATCGAAACAAAAAAAGTGGATACACCTACAATTTTTCGAGATTAGTGCCTGCCGTGTCCATTAGTAAGAAGTAAAACAGACCTATCAGATTTTTTTTTTTCTTACCATACATGATATTTTTCTCAATAAACTGTTGGTGTATGTAAAGAAATGTGATATTAATTCTTTCTATTCAGTAGTTCTTATTGCGATGTTTTGAAGTCGGTTTTTTCAATTGTTTTTGTTTCTTTGTTGTTTTGATTAAAAGTTTTGACTTATATTATTAAACTTCCATTATTAAAATGGAAGTTTAATAATATAAGTCAAAATTTTTAATAATAGAATTATCACTAATTCATATTCTTCTTTCTAACTATTAGTAATAAATTGACACCTTTGTCTATATTCAAACATTCTTATTTTTTTTCCCTCGTGACCATGACTGCCGTAACGTAGCCGAAACGTCGAGGTAAATAAAAAGTTTTCAAAATAATGCACGAACAATACCCGCTTACATGTAATTATAATACTTATATTTGCCGGATTTTCTGTAATGCAGTCTTAACTTAACCTTACCCACTATTATTGAAGTAATTCGTTTTTGTTGGGGTCGCAGTTCTAACCTAATAACCTGGTAACAGTTAATTTTTTAAGTAATTTTGTAAGTTTTCTCTTATGTAGTTCCCTAAGTTGAAAATGGTTATTAAAACAAAAAATATCATTTTAATCCAATGTCTAATTGACGAAAAAAACGTTGTCAAACATATAGACACACATATATAATATACACCTACAAAATATAACACACGTGTTTAGAAGCACATATATGAATATTGTGCCATATAAATGCCATCCAACAGAATTACATACGTTTAGGTAAAATCGACAACCTCATTTCCTTTAAGATGTTTAAAAACATACAGGTCAAATAGATAACCTTTTTTTGAAATCGGTTAATGACATCACACACAGGTAAATAGAGGGCCTCCTTTTTTGGAAATCGTTTAATAAAAATCATCATATTTTTACTCATTCTTACTATTCTGTCAAATTATTATAATTTTAATAGTCTGTAGTTTCAAAAATTGTGAACATACATCTCTAATTGATATCCTCCTTTTTTTAAATTGGTTAAAAAAATCAATGCAATCAGATGTATGGTGTGCTGAAAATACGTGGACAATCACACAGACATACACACATATACACCTATAAAATTAGACACACGTGTTCACAAGCTCACACAGTCCAATATATGTGAATATTAAGCCATTCTAAAGAAATAACATGCCTCGAATTTATAGCCTCCATCTTTTTTAAAGTTGGTTAAAGTGTAGCATACTTATTTAGTATCCCATATAAACTAAATTAAATAAAATGAATATTATGCCGTATAGCTACAATATTATATACATACAAATTTTAAAAGCGATTAATTACATACAGGTCAAATTGATAACCTCTTTTTTCAAGTAAGTCAATGACGTACACATACTTCTTCTCTGTCGTATCGCTCTTGGCAGAGCGGACGTACACATACACAGGTAAGATAATGGCCTCCTTTTTGAAGTTGGTTAATAAAAAATCATTTATTTTTCCTCTATTTTATAAGCCTGTTTTTACTTTTTATAAAAATTTTATTAGTTTACATCTTCAAAACTAAGGACAGATTTTGATGAAACTTGTATTGTACGATAAGTAAGTAATCAAACAAAGAAAGAATGATTGCAATCCGACGTCCAGTTCGCGAGACATCTGCGGTCAAACATACATACATACACCTAAAAATTTTGCACACGTGTTAAGAAGCCCATACATACCACCATATATGAATATTACGCCATTCCAACGAAATTACATTCGTACATCTCAAATTGAAAACCTCCTTTATTTAAAGTTTTTTTTTTAAATGTACATACGTATACTATAATTTCTCTAGAAAAAAGTAACAGTTCGTCTGACAGAGTTCGTTTTTCAACACGGTGAGCGCTGCGATTAATCCATGGTTTTTCCATCTATCTCCGCACCCAGCGAATTCTGTGCTTTTTTCATGTTCATTAAAATAAAATAAGAGGATAATGAAAAAATTATAAAATATGGGTCACATGAGTATGAAATACACAATGGTTAAACTGCTTATTAAGACTTGATTATACATTCATTAAAGTAAGAAATCATTATTACAAACGCTTTAGAAAATTTCATACATGTATCAGCGTATCGGTAGAGTCCATTATTGATTTACACACTGGTATCACTACCAATACTCCCCACCGGAAGTGACACTGTGTCGTCTTCAAGTTCCAGCTGAAAAGCCATTTCTCGTCCATTCTGTTGGAGTCTTGCTCGGATATTACACGCTGTTTGTAATCCGTGGTGAGTGTCAGAAGAAAATCTGTGAAGTGATTAGTGGTTTTCTTTTTCTATCAGAAATATTGTGTTAGTATTAATTTATCAAAATAATTGTTAAGTACCATTGATAATTACATCCCTAATTTAGGTGATCTAATTATTGCCAAATTGTGTTGTAACGTCTATCCGTATACTGTGCATTGTAATGTACGCGTGTTAAGTGTTAAAACTACTCCTTTACACGTAGGAGTGCGTCTCAAAAGTGTTTTTCCAATATAGATATTCCTTTTTTGAAAACAAAATGTGCTTACGCGTCACCCTAACCCGGCTCGTCACTTCACCACCACGTGGTTGACTTTCTCTTGTTTTGCTTACTATTGTACAAAAAAGCGATTCCTTAGTTTCTTTTGTTTTTCAATCGATACTGGATAGTTTAATTAAACGATTATGCCAATACCTATTTAATTTTGTTCTCTCGTAATGGCCGACGTTCTTTGTGAAATGTCAAGATAGGGCGAGGCGGCCATGCGGCCGCCATATTGCCGGCCGCATAATTCATGAGGCGACCTTGTCGATGCCGGTGATCACTGCATTTTCTTCCTTTGTGTATATTCTAAATAATCTTAAAAACGTATTTTCTTCTTTTACAGACTAACCAAAAATGGGAAAGGAAAAGATTCACATTAACATTGTCGTCATTGGACACGTCGATTCCGGCAAGTCCACGACCACCGGTCACTTGATCTACAAATGCGGTGGTATCGACAAACGTACCATTGAGAAGTTCGAGAAGGAAGCCCAGGAAATGGGCAAAGGTTCCTTCAAATACGCGTGGGTATTGGACAAACTGAAAGCCGAGCGTGAGCGTGGTATTACTATTGACATCGCTTTATGGAAGTTTGAAACTAGCAAATACTATGTCACTATCATCGACGCCCCTGGACACAGAGATTTCATCAAGAACATGATCACTGGAACCTCGCAAGCTGATTGCGCTGTACTCATCGTCGCCGCTGGTACCGGTGAGTTCGAAGCTGGTATTTCCAAGAATGGACAGACCCGTGAGCATGCTCTGCTCGCCTTCACCCTAGGTGTCAAACAGCTTATCGTGGGTGTCAACAAAATGGATTCCACTGAGCCACCATACAGTGAATCACGTTTCGAGGAAATCAAGAAGGAAGTCTCTTCTTACATCAAGAAAATCGGTTACAATCCAGCTGCTGTCGCTTTCGTCCCTATTTCTGGTTGGCACGGAGACAACATGTTGGAGCCATCCACCAAAATGCCCTGGTTCAAGGGATGGCAAGTTGAGCGCAAGGAAGGCAAAGCTGAGGGTAAGTGCCTCATTGAGGCTCTTGATGCCATCCTGCCACCAGCCCGCCCCACAGACAAGCCCCTGCGTCTTCCCCTGCAAGATGTCTACAAAATCGGCGGTATTGGTACGGTGCCCGTAGGCCGTGTCGAGACTGGTATTCTCAAGCCTGGAACCATTGTTGTATTTGCCCCTGCCAATATCACCACTGAAGTTAAGTCTGTAGAGATGCACCACGAAGCTCTCCAAGAAGCCGTACCTGGTGACAATGTTGGTTTCAACGTCAAGAACGTTTCTGTCAAGGAGCTGCGTCGTGGTTACGTCGCTGGCGACTCCAAAAACAACCCACCCAAGGGTGCCGCAGATTTCACAGCTCAGGTTATTGTGCTTAACCACCCTGGACAGATCTCCAATGGTTACACACCAGTACTGGATTGCCATACAGCCCACATTGCCTGTAAATTCGCTGAAATCAAAGAGAAAGTTGACCGTCGTACTGGTAAATCCACTGAAGATAATCCCAAATCTATCAAATCTGGTGATGCTGCTATTGTTAACCTAGTTCCTTCTAAGCCTCTGTGCGTAGAGTCCTTCCAAGAATTCCCTCCTCTAGGTCGTTTTGCTGTGCGTGACATGAGGCAAACAGTAGCTGTTGGTGTCATCAAGGCAGTCAACTTCAAGGAAGCTGGTGGTGGCAAAGTCACTAAGGCTGCTGAAAAGGCCACTAAGGGCAAGAAGTAGCTAGCACTGTCAACAGCACAATTTTTCATCCGACTGCGATACTTCATACACCGTAAGGTGTTCAGAAGGAAAGAAGGGCTACAAACTCATTCCTTTTCTATATTTTTTACAAGGCTTATACTGTAACATTATTTTATAATTTATATAAGGTTATACATATATCTGAAATATTTTGTTATGACTGCAACTAAAGTGTAAATTCATAGAATAAAAGTAGCCTCCAATAACATTTCATTTTTTATTTATCCTGTCGTATAAATATGGTAATGTGGGTCTTCATTTTGTATGTTTGACATACATTTAAATTCATAATAGTTTCAGCACTTCGATAAGGGGATTGAATGACGATGTATATTTAAAAAGTAGATTAGTAGCCATAGGCTTTATAAGGCGTCAATAGTAAAAGGACATATTTTCGGGTGTATATAAAAGTAAAAGTTTTCTATTCTCTTTTTTTTTTAATTATAAAAAACCAAGTAAAGGACTTTTTTTTTTTTTTCAAGAACTACATTGTGCTTTTCCTTTTGATATTTAAAATTGATGTCTATTCTCATACGAAGACTGCTGAATAGCGAAGTTAGGTTATATGTACGCGAACTTTTTGAAACAGCAACGTGTTTTTTTAATTACCGCCCTAGGGCTTTTCTAGCTTCGTTATTACCCCAGAGCGCTTATTTCACCTACAAGCCTCATTTGGGTGTAATAAGGACCTACTTATCGAATATGAGAGATGTAAAAGTTGTTTGTCACGTTGTTCAGAGTTTTCTGTTTCGCACTCCGGCTACGGGGTCGTCGGAGCCCTGCTGCCGCACACCATTCGGTGTGATAGATGGTCTAACCTGGACGGTGCCACGAACCGAAGTTGCAGCTAAGGAACAGCGAACCAATGACCAGCCTGCCATCTGTCGCGATGGGCAACGATGGTAATTAAGGAGAGGTATTCATGAGGGTCCAGAAACACAGTTGCGCATTTTGTGGCCTTGATGGGGGGCAATGTGGGTTACGAGCTCATCGAACATAACACGCGCCTTACCCTGTCTGGGGGGCGGGATTCTTGAATGTTCTTGAGCCCTGCCGACTACCCGTGGTGAGTTTCGCCCTGCAAAGGGTGGGGCGAACTTCGCGGGAAGTGGTCCCATTTTCTGGGACGGTCACCTACGTCGAGAGGAATATCGCTAGGTTAAGCCCCTGCTATTTGACAAGCCCCTGTTCTGGGGGTGGGTCTGCAGGAGAGAGATCCATATAACCCATGGACTCGGCGCTAAGGGAAACGAGTATGTTTAATGCATTTTCTAACGTCAAAAAAAAACCAGGAAACGAGCTGGGAACCCCTGATTTCTCTTTCCGTGTGCCAGGCTGCCAGCACTACCCTCTTGGATTTTGAAATGATTTCATAATCTATCTAGTTCCTTACTTATCAGTCCGTTACAAAATAGAGACAAATAGCCCCATGTTATTTATATGGCATTGACACTTGACATTCTGCAAGTATTCACACTAGGGTACCATAAAATTGAGTAGATTATGAAAATGATCTTAACAACTACAAAGTATTTTACCGATCTGTTCGAAGCTTATAACCTAGTGTTAAATCATCATATTAGTGTAACGAAATAAAATCTAGAATCTGAATAATTTTGGCTCGAAGTCAAATATGTTATGCCAGCCAAATTTTATCGCCTTTTTTGCTATAATTTTTCAACCAGGCATTTTTGCACCTATAAAATCAGGTGCATGCGTTAATTATCAAAGTTAGTGGCCTTTTTAGTAGACGATCCGTCTTTATTTCTAAACCATAGGTTAAATTTATATTAGCATTCCGATAACTTTACCGCAATAGATTTTATAGAAGGACCATTGGGCCCCTCTCACTCAGTCACTATAGAACATGATGCTATCGGAAAGGATACTGAAAAGTGGCAATGCTTCGATGATATGATGAGTTCTATATTAGAAACAATATGTATACTTTGCTACTGTTTGATGTATTAAATTATGCCAGTAGAATTCGATGTTGAATTGATTTATTTGCTCGCTAGTGTACTGCGCGATAAAAAGTACGAGAAAATGTGACTATGTTTTCGTTTATCTACTTGTTATTGATTAAAAAAACTTCCTTATTTAATTACGTTTTGTTCAGAAATACTGATTTATAAAAAAATATCAGTTGTTGGAATTTTTTGGTTGTCTCTTCTTCCATATTGGACGCCAAGTCATATGAAAACCCCCATTTGAGAAACAACCTAAGGTTTGGAAATAAAGATGAATCGCATAGAAGAGACAGTTGGTTTATTATGTTAATTAACGCACACACTTACTTTTATACGCAAACCATAAATATACGTGCGAACGACAGAAAACTTTCGTAACGCCTAGTGAACAAAGCTTAGCAAAATTACTGATGGAATTTGGCAGGTGTAACATATTTGAATTTGAGCCATAATTATTCAGGTTCTAGGTTTAGTCTAGCTAAGAGTATTTTGTTAAATAATTATGAGTATTTGACTATTCCACCACCACTATCCACTCTTGACTATTTCAAGCAAATATTGTGGATATTTGTTTAAAATAGTCAGGAGTGGTAAAATACTTGTTCAGATCATTTTCGTAATTTTACTCAACTTCATGATACCCTAGAGTGGTGAATCCAAAAACGTAGTGTTTGAGTTTCTCTTCGGTGAATACTTGCAGGATGTCAAGTTTCAATGTCATATGAATACCAAAGAAAATTTAAACACTATGATAAATTCATGCTAAAATTACATGACGTTTTAAAAAAAATTAAGGCTTCTAAAAGGTATTAAAATTATTCTTTAGGTATAATTTAGAAGATATACCGTGACCAGAACGACGTCAGCCCAGCAGCGCCGCACTATTTCTTATTAACTATAGTATTTAGGGCATTATGTCCCAACTGTTAAATATTGAATTAAATGTTCACCTGAAAGCTTTTTGGAATTCATTACAAATGCAATTCTGTGGCGCTGCCAACCTGACGGACACCAGTTTTGCGTCATAATTTTAGATCCAGTCAGACCAAACCCGAGGATCCACATAAACTTGAATAAATAAATATTACACAATATCACATACATAGTTCAGATTCCAAGATGAGTAGTCAAACCCCCGTACTATGGAGTATCTGAGACAACGAAAGTAACACAAAACCCAGACCCAACACAATATAGAAAAGTCCATTTTCTACATTAACGACCGGGGATCGAACCCGGGACCTCAAAGATGGCGACACCTTGAAACCGGCGTGCGAACCACTCGGCTACGGAGGTCGACAATGGAACAATAAAATAAAAAAAGAATTATCAACATAACTTTATTATGTCATATTCTATGTACACCTAAGTAGTTCAGTATGTAAAATAAATAATCTAGTAAGCAATATTATTAGAGGTATTTTCGTTTTGCTCTTCATGATCTACAATAGCGTTAGCCCATTCTTCAGCTTGTTTATATCTTTGCCGCTTTACATATGGAGCATAAAACCACTTATGAGCCACAACTACGCCAGTGGTGAAAAGTAAAGCAGCCACAACCTTAGTAATAGGTCCAGCATTTTTTGCAAAATTGTCTATTTTCAACATCTTCACTCAGTTCTAGGAACACTTTCCACAATAGGCTCGATACTCTTTTTTTTTTCTCGAGTATAATACTCATCAAACAATGGTTTCCAGATATAAATTCCTCCAAGTGTACCCAATATCGTAACCAAAATAAATTGCCCTCTAGTCACACCTCGAGGTCTGTATATTCTCATTATAATTTAATCATTATGAAAAGATCAAATTTTTGAAATATTATCAGTAATATTTTCTTTTGAAAAGTATGTAATAAGATTACACAATTACTTTTGTAGGTTATGCGCAGAGAGTAGTAGTAAACTATATAGTCTGCGCAGTGTTACCAACTCCCAACAAAATAAAACCCTAAAACCAAACTCAAATAACCCTAAATAGCCCTGAATGGTGTAATCAAAAGCCCCAAAAAAAGCTCTGTCCTACTTGTATTACCCACAAATTTAATGGTATAGTTTAAAAAAAAATCTGTTTTATTAAGGTGATTAAAATAGACCTCAGTTTTATTTTCTAATATTTTTTTGGTATTAATTACTTGAATCGCATTCAATTAATTTCGTTAATCTAAAAAAGGTGACTATTTGTCTTTTTTTAGATGAATAAAAACGCACTCTTATAGACGAAACTCTCCTGTCTTTTCTACTAGTTCACTAAGAAAAGAGGGGCCAAGCACATTTTGTATAATCATGGAACATTTTGTGCGAAATAGACTTAAATACTTTAAAGCATCCGATGACGAATCTATTTGATGAACGAAGCCAGAAAGCATGCTATGTTTTATGACTAAAACCAATCCAAAAAAAGTAATAAACCATGACACGAAAATAAAACTACAGAAAATTTAAATAGATTAAAAAATATCATATTGAAGCCATAGCAATATACTATAATATAGTATATTATATTATACCTATATTATAGGTAGCCTGCAGACATACACACACGTCCAGCTAAACTTTTATTTCTATATATATAATGAACAATTGGTAGGTCTGTTTTGTCAAATAATTTAACGTTTCATCCATTGTCGAATTCGAAGAGAAAATAAAGTTCTTTTGTATGTCGTAAACAATGTTGGTTAATCTGTTTTAAACCAAATAAAAAGATTTAATGAGTAATTTAGACATTACCTGATTTTTTTATCATTAATTTATTTAATTTTTTTAGCACTAAAATTAGCCCTAAACTTTCTTGAGCCCTAAAAAAAGCCCAATCAGTTTATTCCGCCCTAAAGAACAATGGTCAAAATGGACTACGAAAAAAAAGTTCTTGTACCAAGATGGAATTATTACCAAAATGTAGTATAAGTTGAATGTAATATATTATATATGTATATATGTATTATATACCAACAATTTATTTTTAAAAGCTGGGAAAGGAAAGATAATCCTCTCTAAAATATGTCTTAATTTTTTAGAACGCAGTTTAAATTCTGTTAATTTTGAACGCATCTTATTAATAATGTCATTCCTAGAGAAGTCCCTTTCTTTTCAAAGAACAGGATCGATTTTATTTCTGACTAATCGAATTTGATACAAATCTTATATTTACTAACCATATAAATCCTTGAAAATTATAAAACTTAGATTAGATTACTTATATTATTAGATGTTACTTAGAGGAAAATAGTTT